TTGTCTCATCAGTAGCTATTAATGTAGTAATGAGTCAAGGAAATGTTTCCTATTTAAATTCATTGACAAGGTTCAGGTTTTATGAGTGACAATTTTAAAATGTCAAAAATATATTCATTTGCAGTGGATGCTGAAATAACTCGGCCTTCATTTTAGGGGCTATAAACATGGGATTTGATCTTCTGTGTTCATGCAACCCATCCCTTGCTTTATTTTAGCTTCTCAATTATTTTTGTTCTATCACATGTTACAAGAAATATGTTGGGTTAACTTTTTTAGTTCATTTACAGCCTTAACAGTCATCTTGCAGAGTAGATTTTCCCAATTTTGAACACTCTACTAAGGTAAAGATGAGTTTAGCTAGTTAAAGTATACTAAAGCAAAAAAGTTTACACTATATTTCTGATTTGAGGATTTCATTACAATCACGTTAGTGTTTTCTGCTGTCTCTATATAATGTCCATTCCTAGGATATCTATATAAATTAAATTTATTAACTCACTTACCAAAATTCTGCTGTAGATGCCTTATGGTTTTATTTTCAAAACATTTAGAAAGGGACAAATTCAGAGAACATAAATTTTCTCCAAAAGGGTTGTTTAAATTCAGTTGTCATTTTAACGTGGGTTCCATTTGGACTCAAATGCCACACACATTTTTAAGGCTGGTTCCCTGGATTCTCTCACTGGTACGTTGTGTTTCTCACTACACTGTTCTTTCATATTGCCTCATGTCTGAAATGAACCTGATTTTGAAAGTTTTTACATTTTGTTTCCTGGGGTAATCATGAGTTTGTAGGGAACCACACGTTGTTAGTGTGTCTCTGTAAATGATAACATGTATTGGCTGATAAAAGTAAGGAAAACACTGTTTACTTAAATGTTTTTAACCAGCCAGAAAGTGCTGGGTAGAAACAGGATTTCAGTGTAAAATTACCAATTTTCTAATACCTTCGTTCATTGAACTTAAGATGTCTTTTTTTTTTTTTTTGGAATGTTGTTTAGGCAATACAAATCAGGGGAAAACAAAAATAGGTTTCATGTACAATGCTCCTGTGCACACACAGCTCTAAGTGGAGTTTGAACAGGGTCCCTGAGAACACGGCACATTACTTTCTCTCTAGTGGAGACAGAGTTTCTCGTGTTATACTCCGCTCCCATTACATCATCTTAGGCCCAAAGTCCCCAGAGCTCTTTCTCCTGTCTTTCCTGGCTTGTCTCTTGATTCTCCCCCAAACAGTTCTTTTACCACATGCTCATACCCTGAGCCCACGGATAGAAACAGTATATTATTATACCTGACCAACAGGGCAACCAACCCTATTTTCTTACTACTCCTTCCAAAGCACCCTCTACTCCAGCCAAAAAAAAGAACCTACTTTAATCCCGTCTTGGTACATGGTATTCTCTCTGTGCTGGAGTGCCCTCTGCCCTTGCCCCATCTCTCTCTGCCTGATGAACTCTTACTCGTCCTTTAGGACTCAGCTTGAAATGTCAGCTCTTCTGTGGACCCTTTCTTGGTTCTCCTAGGCTGGCTGAGTCTGCTTCCTCCTGTAGGTTCCCACAGCACTGTTCTGGAGAAACCACCACTTGTGGTTTGCCTTCCTGCCTCCCCAGGGGTGAACTCCTCAGGTCTGTGTTTGTTTCCAGGACCTAGTGTGGGTTCTCATTCATGATGGGGTTTCAATGAGTTGTTCACAGATGAACGGATAGTGAGCCGAAAGAAACAGTTGTTGAATAAATAAATGCGTCTGTTTAAAGTAAGACCCATCCCAGTGCTGAGAATTGTCATTCAGATTCTATATCCTGTTCTTGTCTTTATTCCACTATCATTTTCACTTTTTCTTAGAAAAAACATTGTGTCTCATGTTGGATAAGTACTAACTTTAACACATAAAAAAGGAAATATTTAAGACTGATATCCCGTAGATGGTTCTGAGCCTTAGAAACTAACAAAAAGGAAGACATGGGCCTCATTCCCAGTAATTCAGCAAAAAGAGCTTAAGCTTTATGTAGCAACTCTGGAAAAAAAGAATGAATTCACTGAATGTAAGAAATGAAATTGCAGATAAAAAGATAAACATGAGTTATGTAATTCAATGTGATTATTTTAGTTGTAAAATTATGCTGTTGCATAGAAACACAAATTTTCAGGCAGTTTGGTCATATATCAATGACTGCAGAATCTCAGACATCATTGAATTAAAAATAAAAACATTGTTTTGGTTATTTAAAAATGTGTGAGTTCAAATAATAGCAATAATAATAGTAACAATGAAAGCTTTTTTAGGAGACATTTTATGCTTCCAAAGTCTAGGAAGTATTTTCAAATGTCTTATGGAGAACAACTTCTGAAAATATTAGCTAATATTAAAAACAAGGTCATACACCAAAATAAATGCTTTTTAAATTTAGACTTATAATCTATGTTCTCCTAATTTACATTTTTTTAAATTAATAAAATCCTGAAATATTTACTGAGGATTATAATGACTCAAATTGGAAGTTTGGAATTGTTTCTTAATACAGTATTTCATATGTTTAGAAATGGGGTGGTGTTTAGTATTTGATCTCACTAGGATAATAACCCAGATTTCTAGTCATCGTGAGACTTTTTCTTAACCAAGCATTTATTCATACTCATAACATTTATGCAACCTGAAGAGTCTGATGTCACTCTGGTGTTCCAGCACATCTGCTTCAGATCTAGGGAGTGTGTGGTCAATACTGGGTTTTTGTTTGTCTTTGTTCTATCTTCAAAGTGACTTATTGTTCACTAAGAGCCCAATAAATGTATAATAAATGTCCTGTTTGTTGTGTCACTTGTAGGTACTGTGGTCTTTGGAAATGGGTCATTGGATTTCTGAGGACCCCTTCGAACTTTCTAACTACTTCCCTGCAGCTCCTGTAAGTCAGATGTTATTTTATGATATTAAATATAATTTGATATTCTCAGGAAATTACTATAAGCATAGATATAGACTAAGGTTTTTATTATATCAAGAGCAATTATGCCCATAATTAAAGAGATATATTTATAGAACTTAACACTTTTTATCTATTTGTGAGAACAAATGTGAGAATATTCTGCAAAAAGTTATGAGGAATGCAGTCTCAAAAAATTTTAATTATAAAAGTCCTCAGAAAGATTGAGAAAGACAAAAATAAAAAAAAAAAGAAAGAATAGCTTATTGAGAAGGTAGTATTATGTCTCACTTACTGCTTTAAAAGATAATACTTTGACTGTTAATAGAGATACAGCTGATAGGTATAAGAATTGTGGCCTGCTAGCATTATGATGTGGTCTTTATATTTTGGTGTTTTTCCTAAACTCAGCTTTAACTCCACTTTCTTTTACTTTTAAGTATTTCAAATGCTTAATGGAAAAGTTCCAGGTTCTGATTTTTTAAAAGATTAAGCAATAATCAAGTAGGTAATTTAAGGTTTAGTTGGAAGTGGGATTGGACAGAAGTTGGCTTCATTTTTAAAAATGTTAACTGGTTTGTGACAGCTTATTCTTTGAAAAGATTAATACCTGAAAGATCAATAGTGATTTTTGTCTGTGACCAGTCTTCATGTTTTTTAGCTGTTTATGCTGTGTGACTTTACCATAACAAGAAGTTGGAGTCTGACCTCTCACCACTGTAGATAGCTAAGTTGTTGGGTTGTTTTTGTTTTCATTTTTAATATTACTATTTTGATTTCCTTTCAACTTTATAAATATTTTCTTGAGAAGAGACAAAATTCCTCTCATTAAGACTTTTTGTTCATTTGAAATGCATGTAAGGAATTGAAGTGTAAAATAAAAACACAAAATCCCCCCAGTTTCTGTCATAAGAGAGTAGATAGAAGTCTGAAGAGCACAGTGAGGTTTGCCTTTGAAATTCACTTTACCTGCCTATGTGGGCAAGTGATATAAGTTACATTGTTGCCAGTTTTTCCTGTATTGTCTCCCCCCGCCTCAGTATCTGTCATGCAATCATTGAGATATCATAGAAATTTACTGTTTCTTGTGAAGCGGTGATATTTTCTTATTATTGGATGTTTTTTACCTTGACCCAAAGCTGGGATACCTCTGTTGAATTTATAAAGCCTTCTTAAATGTGATAAGAGGAACTGTTCTAGGATGGAGAGGTTCTTTACTCACTTAATATACTGGGAAGGATATTATATAAGGATATTATAACATGATGGGAAAAGCAGAGCACCTGACTCTTCCAGAGTCCATAAACTGACTCAAAACACGTAGCAACAAGTGAGTGTTGTAAAACCAAGTCGAGGTGGGGGAGCATGTAAGGCTAAAGTAAATTAGGTGAGAAAATTGGAATAAAGGAAAAAATAGCAGCAGAACAGTCTAAGGTGATGATAGACACGAGGTAAATGCTGGTTGCACATCTGGCTGGAAGCTTCCTAGCAGCTGACTCAAAATCAAATATATGAGAAACTGCTTCAGAATTACAAAGCGTTACACAAATGTTCATTAGCATTAATTGTACTGTGAAGCTTCAGAGTTAACCCTCTAGGAGTATAAGTTTTTGCAGTCCTGAGCTTAAATCCGTGCTCTCAAAATTTTCTGTAAACATTCGAATATACGATAAACATCAGATTTTGTTTTTGCACTCCAGAACACTTTTTTTTTTTAAGTTTGCTGGTGGACATTAAAAAAAAAAATCTTACTAATGCAAATTATTTTTTTCCTTAAATAACTTTAGAGCTGAATCTAGCTTGAGAAGTACAGCTTTGTAAGTGTCTTAAATGGAAGGGCTTTCTCAACCACCAATTATAGCCTTGTTCTCCAAAATACATCTTACTAGAAGAGAAAAAAGACCTCTATCTTAGAACAGTGACTGAAAGACAGTAAAGCCTCTTTGTCATGATATTAAATGTGCAATTTTCTTCATCATTAAAAATCAAAATTTTCCTTGTCATGAGGCACAATCAGTTTTTGGGAATCAAATTACAAAATTGTAAATATTATCATAATAGTTAAATGCAGTCATCTCACCTAATAAGTTATATTTAATTACTAAAAATACCTTCATATTTAACAGCCAGGCAGGAAAAAAAAAATAGTACAATCTTCATATAAACTACAAGAGCATACATCTCTATTAATAATTTCAGAGATCCTGGACGTTTTCACCATATAAACTTGAAATATATATTTGAGCGTTCCCTTAAAACTAAGCTGTTGACACATATGTAAATAATGCTGTTTTCAAAATGAAAATTTAAAGCACCTAAGAGGAGGAGTAAAAATGCGTTAACTATGTTTTTGCTTCTCCAAATATTAAACTGCTGATAACCACTTCTCAGAAAATCCCTGAATATATAATATATATTTATGGCTTAGAGAATTTTTTTCCTCCCTTTAATTGTGATAGTGAATTCTGATTATGAATTCAGCACATATGGCTATTTACACAATCTATAAACAGTGCTTACAAGAATGCAGTTCCAAGATTATCTCTACTATATAGTGTAAGTGTTCTGTTTTCCAGTTATTTACTGATGAGCTCGCACATAACATTCTTGGTTGTGACAACAGTCTGTGAATCGTCAGTGTTATCCGGAAGCTCAGCTGTGTCTTCGCCCAGGCATTCCACCAGGTCACAGCGCCAGGTTGTTGCTTGTTCTGGGTTGAGCTTTGGTTCACTGAGTGGTACAGGTTCAAGTGATGAAATTCACGGGCTCTAACTTGGAGCCCACGGATTCCTTCCGCACCCGAGAGCATGCTGTCTGTCTGAGGTGGACGAGGAGACAGTACGCAGCTGTGTCTTTCAGAGCTTTGGGGTTAAGTCTTTGAAAACAGTACAATACAGCGTTCCTCAGGTGTGTGTGGCATTTAGAAATCTGCTGGTCGGATCATCATGGTTGTGGCCTTGAGCGAGTAGCCCGATCCTTTCCAATAGTACCACTTAATCCCGTTGAATTTATTTGTGTTCTGCCTCTGTGGGTAGTACATTCCGTTCAAGTTGGAGGGACCACATGCATCAAACCACCAGCCTGTGAAAGTCAAACATGGAAGGAATTAGGAACTAGGTAACCCCAACTGTCTCACCAGGGATTTGGAAATTCTCGGCTAGTCCACTAATCACATTCCATGCATTTGAAGGAGGCAGATACTGTTGAGTGTACAATGTGCTGTATTGACAGCTGAGGAGTACGGTTTCCCACCTTTACACTGGTTAAAGCACAGTTCCATTATGGCTCATGTTTTTACGAGCTGTCTTACTCCTTTTTTCTTGTGCTGTGTGGAAAGGCCAGTCATCCACAGTCCTGATCTGGTAAGCACACGGTACAGGTGAAAGAATGGCTAAGTCAAAAACTGAAGAATTTTTGGGTGACTCAACAGGATTACTTTCCAGTTCCAGCCGCACAGTGGACTGGACAGATTCACGCTCCACTCCCCCTACCAAAGAAATTCTTTTTGTTTAAAATATAACAAATTTTAAGTACTCAGCGGAACTAGATAAAAAGGATATCTAAGTTTCATAGACAAAAAGGAAATTTAAAGCTACAGTGGCACACTCACTAAGGTAAAGCCAGGGGCAGAGGTGGTGCTTGGCACCACAGCTGAGGAGGTGCGTTCACATCTACACCTGAATGCTAGGCTTGGGGTTTGAATGCTGTTACCTAGAACAGGAGCAGCCTGGAGGCCCTGGGTTTGTGAGGGGAGGGAATGACCTCAATCTACCTGCGTTAATCTGAATAAATCTTAAAAACACTGTGTTAGAAAGACACTTACAGGATGATGCCATTTATGTAAAATTTTAAAATACAGAACAAAATAACTATTATTGATATTTCCATTCATAGTAAAATAAATAAATAATGTGAATGAACCTCAATTCAGTGGTCACCTGAGGGGCAGGGGTTGGTAGGGCAGCTTTAGTTGTATCTGTGAAGTGTTATTTCTTTAAAAAATATTCTGATGCAATTATTATATTAATATTTATACATTGGACTGTGATCACCAATAATGTCCTCCAGGTGCCTAAATTCTTTAGCAGCTGCATGGCTGGAGTTGATTTGGTCAGTTTGATAAGACAATTCTGTGTGTTACTCGGAATCCTTAAAAATATTAAAGAATATTACAGATTTCTAGGTCTGTGCATTCTGGAGCCTGTTATTTGGCTGAACTATAGAATTTACTGTCCATGCAAAACTCTAGCTGACCATGGGCTGGAATCTAACCTCTTTATCATTGGGACCTCCCCACTTTCTCTCTTGGGCTGCGTTTCTTCTCCCCAGTCTCTTTTCCACTTCCACTCTCAGCCCTAAATCTTGATTTGAGTAAATAAATATGTTGTTTCCTTGGTTATTAATGCACTTCCCCTACTCTCTTGAGAGGCTCATGGCATATGGGTGGTCTGAAGACCGCCGCCCTCTCGAGTGGACGGCTGGCTCAGTGCGGGAATGCAGACGGAGAAAAGGACCGGGTGTCTTTGGTCCCCTCACCCCATGCCTTTTCCCCTTCCCATTGGCTTTAAAAAGGATTATTATGGTAGAATGTGGGAGACAGGCAGGTTTTACATAATCTATATAATAGCTTTCTCTCATAGAAGTTATTCTTGATATAATTATGGCTAATAGGGAAGACCTGTGTTGCCAATTATATTATATATATATATAAATATATTATCTAAGGAACTGTAGGACTGATTTCTGTAGTGGAGCCTAATTCTTTCAGTATTATTTTAAAGACATGAAAATTACTGAATTTTAAATTATTTTCATAAATAACTTCTTCCTTGGACTGTAAACAATTCTTAACTGAAGTGGGAACATACAATAAGCTTAGATCTCTTCCTTGCTTATGTAAAACCTTATAATTATAAACTATTTTGACCATAGCTCTTACCTTTGGTTTCCCTGGGTGAGTAATGGGTGGATTTTTGGGAACACAGTTTATGGTCTCCACGTATTAAACCTGCTGATTTCCTGTCTGCATTGCATTCGGTTTGTGCTTTTGGCAGAGTTTTTGTTGCTGTTTTAAATCTTTCGATGTTTTTAAAAACTAACTCGACAGTGACTGAGAGACTTGTCAGTCACTATTAACTGGTTCTGGCTATTCAATTTTTAAACTTTTAGAAATCAGAAGAATAAATTTTCTATCAGTTGGTTCCTGTCATTGAACTCTTACGTGTTTCTGAATACTAATTTAGCCATTTTAAGTGACTGTTACAACAGTTATTTGCTTATGGGTGTGTTTTCCATTTTTTTAAAAGAAGTCTGACATGGAAGGTTGAAAACAAGAAGAACCTGAAAATAAAAGCCTTAATTTAAAGTGGACAATCATTCATTTTAATTTGGTGCACTAAAAAAGCAGGTTGGTTAATTAGTTTCTTTGTGTTTATAAGTATTTGCTATATATTAATGAAATCCTTGAGGAAAAAAAACCTGAAAACTGAAAATTCCTTGTTTGAACAATAAGTTGTTGGTTGGAAGCATTTCTATAGTAATGGATCTATATCACTGTTTGGGTTGCCGTTTTGAATTTTCAACCTTTTTAATAAAGCAACATGAAATTAAAGCATCTCTCCAACATCTGATGCTCAGCGAGCACAAACTCAGGAGAGCTTGCTGAATGTCACGTGTCTCCGCTCCTCCCCAGGGCTAGGTCCTGAAGAGACACTGTTGGCCTGCTGACAATTCTAGCTCAATATCACATTCTTGCTTAAACTCAACAGTCTGAAAAAGTGAAAAACAAATGTCCCTGCATCGAGTGAGTGTGTCTATTTATGAAATGTGGACATTGTCACCAGTCACAGGTTGAAGTCCAAATAGCCGACCTTTCATTCTATGAAATTCTTCCTTGCCAACACAAATAGGAAGAGAGAAAAGCCATCCTACCTCCTGTGAGCATTTGTGAACATTTGCAAATACATTTGTCGTTGTCTGCGTCCTTTGTGCTAAAATCATTTCCTGGTTGGCTTATGCTGCTTATTTTGCCGGCTGTCCCTGTAAGTCCTTTAAGGTGAATCCTGTAAGCAGGCAAAGAAAAAAAAAAAAAAAGAACGTAATTGGCTTGGGTTGTTGATTTACCATAGTGGAAAATTTTTTATAATGAAGAATTCCGTTCTACAGAAATGCGTTCTGTGCTGGTTAGTGCACTAATGCATACTCTGGACAAAATATTTTCACACTGGTATAAACAGGAACCAACTTATCATCAAATCCTTAGGCAAAGAGGAATGTTTTCGTGAAACCTTCAATGCATATCACTTGCACAAGCATCAGCAGGGACTTCAGGGCCCTGTAATTTATTTTCCTGCTGCTTTTAGATAAACAGAAGAGGGGAAAATACAGCGTAAGGGGACCCTCTTTCCAGACCTCCAGGCAATATCCTTAGAGAAGTGAGAGTCCTGAGCTGACTGGACAGCTTCAAACATCATTATTTTCAGTAGAGTGGTGGGGGTGAGGAGGGCAGCAGACAACAAGGAATGATCATTACATTTGGAGTAGAAATCTACAGAACTGTGTGGAAAATAAATCCTTATGGCTGCTTTCCCTCTTTTCTTTATAGTATTGTCATAAGCCCGCTAGGCATTGAGAAAGGAATAAACATAATATTAAGCTAGACACTAGATAACAGCCCACACTTTCAGAAGATGGCAGAAATCTGGCTTGCACAGTGATCTGTGTGCCAGTGAGGAGAATGGAAGGGAAGGAGGAGGTATGTAAACGGCTGCAGGAAAGCCCATGGCTGATTGGCTGGGTACAGCTCAGAACAGGGCTCCACGTGGCAGTGTGTGACTGTGTTGGAACAGGGGCTGTGGGAGCCTGGCCTCCAGTTGAGTCTTCTTGTCCTGCGGATGCTGCAGTGTCAGAGGGAGAATGGTACTTTAAGCCTCCAAATGATGCTCGTCTTTGTAATACCTGCTCACATTTGCCAACCACCACCTTGAAAGGGATATAATTTCCAAGAATTCATGTTAGAACAGAGGGTGGAGAAGAGAGGAAAGGTTCACCAGGGATTCACTCTAACCAGGCTATGCCAGGTACTTTCAGGGGCATGTGCACCAAATGCCCATACCAACACCAAGAAGCAGGCATTACTCTTGATTTTGTATATAAAATCATCGAGGTTCAGAGATAGGAACTCGTCCAAAGTCACATCTTGTACACAGTAGAGCTAGTATTTGCACCGCATGCATCTGACTCCTCTGTGTGGTTCCTCCTTGGTGCACACCTTAACAGGGATGTTTGTTTATTGAGGAGGTAGTTGTGAAAAAGATGGCAGCAGGGAGCATATCAAATGAGGTTCCATAAAGCGTTAGTTCTAGGTAACTTTTGTGTTAATGACTTAGATTTAAAATTGTTTTTAATATTGTAACTCTAGAAATTTGATCATAAGGCATTGACTGAATTTCTGAATTTCACTATTATCCTCATGTTTCAAAAATGGCCCTGGCCCCTGGCACAGCCTCTAAATACCTGCTACAAAGCATTTGTATAAGTTCTACTCATCATTAGGGTTTTTTTTTTCCCGAGGAAGATCAGCCCTGAGCTAACATCTGTCGACAATCCTCCTCTTTTTGCTGAGGAAGACTGGCCCTGAGCTAACATTTGTGCCCATTTTCCTCTACTTTATATGTGGGATGCCTGCCACAGCATGGCTTGATGAGCGGTGCCATGTCCGCACCCGGGATTCGAACCAGTGAACCCCAGGCCGCCAAAGCGGAACATGCACACTTAACCGCTGCGCCACCGGGCCGGCCCCATATCATTAGGATTTTGAGTTCATGTAAGTTCTACAGATCGTCAGGATTTCAAAACACTTCCATTTCTTTCCAGGCCCTTCTCATTAATTATAGATATGACTGAGACAAACTGTTCCCTCACTTTTCCTCCTTTTGACTCCCTGTCTCCTTAGAACAATTTCAGTTCTTGTGGAACTCATTAAATTTCCTCTAAGGTGGGCAAAATAAGGGAGGATACTATTTTTTGTTAGCCTCTCTTATAAAGATTGTATACTTTTAGATCCTATTATGTGGCCCGTTGGTTTGAAGTTGCTTTCTTTAAAAGTTTGGTTATTAAGAATAGCCACATTTTTGAAATTGCTTTAAATTGGTATCAGTTGCTTTTATATTACAATGAAGTGAAGGAAAAGGGAACGCAGCATTTAATAATGAAATCTCAGCATTTGTATATAACTGCCAGAATGCTTCTGAAAAGTGACCAGTTTTTAAGGTTTAATGTACAAATAGTTTTTAATTTTGATAAAAAGAATCATTTTCTATTGGTACATTTATCCATTCCTTGTAACATGTGTTTTTCAGTTTTCCAACATTTGGGGAACATTTCTTTAGTAAAAAACAACTCAGCTGCTACATACAGTTGGCATTATGAAACATTTGTAGTTATTATAAGTTTTAGCCTTATCACAGTTTCTTATCACATTGACATGTTTTATTAGGCTAATAATTTTCTTGATGTAATATCTGTCTTACGCTGCCAAGTATTTTAAACTGAGCTTTAAACAAATGTGTGCTTTTTTAAATGGCATATCCAAAAACTGATTGGATTTCCAAAGGAAATATCTGTTAAGAACCATTTTACTTTAAAATAGTTTTATAATGTCAGTGTACAAGGGTAATGACCCATTCTGTAAAATCTTCTTATGTAAACAGTTTAATCCTTAATTTTTGTGTTTCTTTCTTTTTTTTTTTTTTTTTAATTCTTCTGTTGTAGATTCCTAACTGTTGCCAGTTGAAAAAATATTTAGCTTGGAGGTAAAACAATGACCAACCACTCGCATCTAAAAATTCACTGAAGTGCTGATCTCTTTGGAGTCCACTTGGAGCTGTAACGAGGCCCACCACCTCTCTTTTCATTCATCTGGGTCATTGCCTCTCTGAGAGAGCCCTGCTCTTTCTATAATGAGAGTTGATGGACTGTGTTTCACTGACTTTTTAAAAGTCAGGTCAATGCTTGTTGTCCGTTGTCTGTGTTCAAAACATGCTTCTGAACTTTGATCCACTGTTGATGAAGCAGGACTTACTGGACATTCTACAGTTTTCAGGTAGTTGTTTGGGCAAGCTGACTTTCGGTCCATTTTCCCATGCTGTCCATTGTGACTCTCCCCGGGAAGCCAGCTCAAGGACTTTGAAGTCATGTTTATTTTCCAAACTATTCAGATCTTGGAATTTCTGTTGAGCAGAGGGTCTGAGTTGGGCATTAATGAGATTTAGATGGGGCTGTAGGCCAGATGATGACTATTTTCTCTGATGTTCCTATTGAACCTCGTTTGTTTATTTCTGACCTTAAGAGAAGGTGTTTCAGAATATGTGCTTCACGATCACCTAACACCACCGTCTGTGCTCTTTAGGCTCCTTCAGGGCTCCGTTGGTGACTAAACTGTTCTGTTGTGCCTCCTCAGATCAGTTCCTTTGATGCCACCTGATGCGCAATCTCACTTCTGTCTCTATCACTGCACATGCATCTCTGGAAGTTCTGTATAACAGCGTACACACGTGTGTACACTTGCCTTACAAGGTGCTAGCCTTTCAATCCTCTCATGGCTCTCTGTCTCTACTCTCATGGCATTTTAGAGCCAGAAAGTAAATTCCGAGTCAAGGTTGCCCATGCTTTTCTTGGAACATTTGAGATTAGGGCCGCCAAATTGGTGGCACAAGGCAAATTCTGTGGGAGTGCTGAGAATCAGCAGTGCTTTCTACAGCAGAGAGCAGAGGAGCTGACTGACTGACATCCTGCCTAATCCTACCACCTTTAAACTTGCAACTCATCCTGACTTTGGGATGGAACATAACGATGGAATGTGCTTAAACTACAAAAAGGTATATTTAACTTTTAAAACCTCTTGGAAGAAAACAATACAGTCATAGGTATGCATCTGTTATGATATTGGCATGACATTTTATTATAGAGACACTAAATGCAGGTATCCTACAAACAGTGATTGAATGCCCATTATCTTCAGGACAGGGCTCATCTATACTTTGAGGATACGCAGCACACGCCATGGACAAAATAGTGCCCTCATGAAGTTTCCCTTCGACTGTTAAAACTAAAGTTAGAATTTTAAAATGAGAGAAATTTACCTAAAGGCAGCAAAGAACTCTAAGAAACAAGGTGTTTTTCCATTTAGGATAGTCTAATAAGAGTAGTTTAGATCCTGGTTAATACAACGGGGTTCTCATTTTCTGGAGTAATCCCCCAGTAAATCCTTTAACTTCCTTCAGTTACCTATAATGGACCTACCTGTAATTGAATTCTTCACTTGAGAGATAGAAGTGTTCGTACAGTGAATAAGCCTCGTTCCCTTCCCAGTCTTTAAGGTGTATTTTAAGCACGTAGCGTTGCTGATTAGTCACTTGTGAAACAAACTCATTTCCCAGCCAGTATTCGCCCGAAGGGTTCCCAAATCCCTGGAATCCAAGTCATAAAATTAAATTACCGCATGTATTTTTTCGTCACGTATTTGAAATCAATAGTCCATCAATGTGGCATGATATAACTATCAAATATTCAGCAGAAATTCCTTCCTGGACTGTGAAAATCTGGGTTCTTCCGTAGAAGAAAGTAGATTTTTTTAAGGGTCAATTTTAAGAAACAAAGCTGTTACTGGAAGAAAATTAGTATTAGAAAAATTAGAACCACTTGGGGAGCCACCAATAGCAACATAAGCAGAAGCAGCGAAGTCCGTCGACATGGGAAGAACTGTGAAACAGTTGGCTTACCCCGAAGTGCTGAGCCTGCCATTAAAAATAAGCCTAGCACCCGCATGCCTTTGTTTTTACATAGAGTTTACGTTACAGTGACAGGGCCATTCTTTAATGGGGAGACTGAAACAGCAGTTAAAAAGAACCCATTGGTAAAAAAAAATAAAATAAAATTGTCAAAAGTCATTGGTTAGTTGTGGATTTGTGGTGAAGTTTCTGCAGATCTTGAGAGTTAGCTTTCCCAAAGAAAATTATTTTCAGATGTTTTAAAGAGTATTCATACCGCTTTATATTCTTTCCACGTCCTCTGAAAATCAACACTGCCATCTTCACGTCGCTGGATAATGGTCCACCCGCCTCCACCAGTTTCCATGTCACAGTAAGCCTGCCAAGGGGAAGCGCACCGTTATACTGTGTGAGAAACGTCGTGACTCATGTCTTCATCTTAAATAACAGAAACGAGATGAATGCAGATACCTAGAACAACATTTGTGCTGATAGGGTTCTCTGGGGTAAATCTTTGTGGTCTTCCAAGAAACAGATGGTTTTAAATAAATGGAAAACTAGGAATTTAAAATGATGGTGAAAAATAAACAGTAATATAACACGACGTGTTGATGAAAATATCACTGTCTTGTCATCATCTCTTCTAGGCTAAAGACCCACCCAATGGCTGACCCAAAGATCGTTGTTCCCTAGAGATTCATTTTGAATGGGACAGACTGGCTCCAAACCTCTCCTCTCCAACCAGTAGAAACCTGTCAGTTGGAGTCCAGAGCCCTGAAAATCTATAGGATAGTTGCCAGTCCCTATCAGCTCTTCAGAGAGTTATGGAAAAGGGATCCTCTCGTATCGTAGGGTTTCCAAGACTCCAGTTATGTTATTCTGTGGGGCTATTAGGCTTCCTCCATGTAGGATAAAAGTTGGGTTGCTCAGTTCATCCCTCAGTACAAGGGACCTAAGTCGTCCAGGGACTGAATATGGTGGATGTGACCTGAGCATGGCCTGGCAGCTCTAGTCCACAGATCATGACCTCAGGCTTCCTTGCACTTTACTCACTGCCCATGGCATTTCTCTTCCCAGCTCTTTTTATTCCTGCTTTTAAACTGGCTTCGTGGGTATAAACTTTGTTCAGAACACAAAATTCTTTCTTGGGCTAGGAGCATGCATGCTCAATTTCAACTGAGCCAGAGTTTTATTATGAAATTAAAAACCTCTGAAAATAAGATTACATAAATAGTTTTAAATAATGAGATTATAGTAGAACGAAAAAGTTTTCCAGAAAGTTAAATTTCCCTACAGCATTCAAGGCAGTAAATATGAAAGTTAAGGTTCAAAACCAATTAGAAATATTCTTCCTTTGTTGTTTTCCATGGTCTTTGAGGGAATAATGGAGATAATTATGGCAGAGTAAGTTTAAATGTGAACTATTCTGCATTTGGGACTTAAAATCCTAGAGAATGAGGGCTAGAGGAGAACCAAGGCCTGCTCTTTTATTTTAAGCAGCTTGCCTGATGTCTCATTGCTAATGGAATAGAGAGTTGCAATTGGAACCCAGCGCCCTGTCCTCCAGCAGGTTTTGCTCCACCACTATTCTAGTCTCTCTCCATGAAGGTCACTTGGCCCACACCACTTTCCTGATGATCCTCATGTTTGGAGACATATTTTGCATTAAAGAAAATTACATTTATTAAGAATAAAATGATTTCCCCATTTTAAATTAATCAGGCATGTAAAATTGATCTGCTTAAGGTAATCCCTTATTACCACGCTGTATTGATATTATTATTATTAATTTTCATTATTATCATAGCTATGCACCACTCTCTTCCAAGCACTGTGTTAGGTACTTTGCCTATATCATCTGTAATCAGAGTTGCTGGGATATGATAATTCTCCATTTTTGAAAAGAGAAAAAATTTGGTAAAGCTAGATTAATTTGATCAGAGACATTCAGTTGTTAGGTGGAATACAGGATTTGAATAAGGTCTCTTTAATTCCTAATTCTGTAATGTTTTTTCTACTGTACTATGCTGCCAGAAACAGAGAAACTTGACCCTTTTGTTACTAGGCCAAAAGTCCCTCAAGACAGCTCCAAGTTGAAATCGGTTCATGAGTAATATTGCTGCTTATTTGCCTGTGGTCCACAAAATGGTCAGTATTGCTCACTTCTATCACTATATCTTTTTTAAAAAAATCCATTTAGTAAACCAGCTGAATAAGCTACATTAGTTTGAGGAGTCATGTGTGTACAGAGAAGTTAATTCCCCTCTATCCTAAGTGACGTGCTAGTGGGTGGAAAGAATTAATATGGTTCTTAGTGATCGTATCCTTGTTCCAAGCGTATTTGATTCTTTGGTGTCAAAATCACCATTATGAAGTTACTGATTTTTAAATCAGAGAACAAGTCCATCTTGTTATGGAAATCAGAGTCAGTACTCGAATGGCTGGGACTCACTACCAGAGCATAAATGATTTGAGCCATGCTGTTCTCTAACTCCATCAGGGACAATGATAAGATTATTAGAACATTCTTAATATTACTTTGTCCAGATTAAAAAAAAATACAAGAGGGGCCGGCCCCATGGCCGAGTGGTTAAGTTCGCGCGCTCTGCTTTGGTGGCCCAGGGTTTCGCCAGTTTGAATCCTGGGCGCGGACATGGCACCGCTGATCAAGCCATGCTGAGGCCGCGTCCCACATGCCACAACTGGAAGGACCCACAACTAAAAATACACAACTGTGTCCCAGGGGGCTTTGGGAGAAAAAGGAAAAATAAAATCTTTAAAAAAAAAAATGAGAGAGTTTATAAAAACTGAAGTATTATGGTTAATTGCATCATGAAACTTTGAGGGAAAGATCGTGTTCAAATAGAGTTATCCACGTCGCCAGAGGTCCTGAGTGAAAATGATGAAGTTGATTCTATCAGGAGCAGAGAAGCAGAAGTCCTCAGTGATGCCCAAGACTTCACCGCTCCAATTACAGCAAACCTGGGGCAGTGCATACTTTTGGTTAGCGCACTATTGCATGGTTCAGGGAGCTGATATCTTGCTCTAAATCTTGATGTCTTTCAGCAAATAATGCCTGATTGAAATGTTACGCTTCAGCTCTGAGGCCATGGTGAATGACTGATTAGACAGCAAACACATAGATAAACATTAGGAGACAGGTATCCTATGAAATTTAGGGAAAGAAACTATTGTGTCCTAACTAGGAAAAAAACGTGCTCTAATGTTTCTAATAAATGCCTTCTTGCAGTGTCTATCTTGTACAAAAACTTAATGAATTTTTCAAAAATGAAATATGTAGGCCCTTTTAGCAAAGATCTGCCCAAAGATCTTTTGAACCTTGTTTTCTTGAGTTAGATGAAACAGGGCAAAATTTGGTCCCCTGCCATAGTCTTGGGGGCAGTAGAATGAGAACACTTCCTGCTTATTGAATGCGTGCTAAGTAGCCGGTGCTGTCCTGGGTACCTCCATCATCACCTCAAAACCGCTCTTTACGACTGGGGGTATTATGTCATGCTACAGATTAGGAAACTGAGGGCTCACACAGGTTAAACGACTTGCTCAGAGGCACGAATTCGCAGAGCCGGAATTTAAACCCAAGTCTGTCCAGCTTTCTCTTCCTGGATCAGATTGTGAGTTAGGGAGTCTGGAAGGGAATCTAAAGGTAACTTAATCTGGACCATTTATTTTAGAAATGAGAAAACTGAGGTTTTGAAAGATTGTTATTCCCTGCTGTGGTAAATGAGTTATTTTTACTGCACGTGTTTAAAAGGAATATAAATCCTAATATTTCCAACCACGACCTGAGACTCACGTCATCCCAGAGTGCTGTATATTTTCATCTTCTGTGAGGTCAATGGGTTGGTATAGTGCACTGGGGTGGGAACATTGCTCTAAGTGAGAAAAGCACTTATCCAGCAGTAGGATAGTACTATCCAAGTGGTGATGGTCCTTCTGGATTTGCATTGGTAGCATTCACATTTTATTCGTATCCTCTATCCTCCTCTTGTCACTCCTGTCCCTGTTATCTCTGGGCCAGGAAGAGACTAACATCTGGTGACTGACAATAGCATGCAAAGAATTGTCAGGAAAACCAGATTGCAAAGGGGATTGAAAGGCTTATGTAGGGTCTGTTCATTACTTTTTCATCCGCACGGACTACTTGGGTTTTTTCCTCTCCCAATGCACTGCTTCTAGGGTGCTAGGGACATTAACTGATTTCAAGGTTGATTTAAGGCAGCATGAATGAATTAGAAAGATTGCTTTGGAAAGTATTATCTTGAATAGTACAATATTTATCCTTTAAATTCATAGTCAAGGTATATGTTACTATTTCAAATTTCATATCTTTAAACCCTTAATGCCTGCATTTTTAAAGTGTTTTTCTTTATTACCATCTTAAGTACAGAGGATAATACTGAGTTCAAAGAGATAACACTCTTCCAGGGGCCTCTAAAATTTCCACTCGATGCAGTCTCTAGTGTCTTTTCTGTAAGTGTTTACTTCAGTTCACTGTGTAGCTGCTGTTACAGTGAGATGCAGACTTATAGACATTTAATATATGCAGTCATCCACTCTTTACATAACACTTTACACTGATGCTCATGTGATATTATTTTACCTAATCAAACTTCTAAGAGAAGCCACATTGAAATATTCCCTGGGGAAATGATTTTTTTTTTTTTCTTATCTAAATCTCAATGTCTCCCAAAGCAACTTCGGGAACCATACTCAGTGAGTAATCCAGAATAACTAAGGAGAAATTGAGTTAAGCTATACACTAGCTTCTCCTGATGCTAAGTTCTGGTTGTTAGTTCACTGTCCACACAGTATGGAGCTTACACCTTCAAGTAAACTCCATGCACTTGGGAAGAAAATGAAAGTCTTCCAGCCTACATTAGATGGCATAAGGATGGCCTGCCCCAGCGGTCCTCACGGTGTGGCCTGCAGACTCCTGGGGGTCCCTGAGAGCCTTGCGGCAAGTCCACAAGGTTGGAACTGTTTCCATAATAACTACGACGTTCTTGGCCTTTGACACTGGGGTGGCATTTTCCTGGATGGTACAAAGGCACTAGTGGGTGACACTGCTGGCGCCCTAGCGTGGATCAAGGGAATAGTACAAACCGAGCTAGAGTCACTGTACTCTTCAGTCACATGCTCGCACTTGGGGGGAACAAAGCAGTAAAAATTAATTTTATTAAACTTCTACTGCTGAGTGCATAACTTTTTATATTCTCTGTGATGAAATGGGAAATGTGTATAAGTCACTTCTGCACACGAAAGTACCACCGTTGTCCCAAAGAACAACTTCTGTGTGATTGCCTTAGTTGTGAGCTGAATGAGGCCTTTTTTATTTGGATAGAATACTCTTGTTACTTGAAATAACAATTGAAAGACAAACTATGGTTATTCGAACATTGGTATTTGGAAGATATTTTCTTTAAAATTAATGAAATGAGGGGCCAGCCCCATGGCCGAGTGGTTAAAGTTCCATACACTCCACTTCGGCAGCCCAGGGTTTGCGGGTTTGGATCCCAGGCATGGACCTCCTCCACTGGTCACCCATGCTGTGGAGGCATCCCGTATACATAATGGAGGAAGATTGGCAGATGTTAGCTCAGGGCTAATCTTCCTCAGGAAAAAAAAAAGAGGAAGATTGGCAACGGATGCTGGCTCAGGGCGAATCTTCCTCGCTAAATAATAAATAAATAAAATAAAATTAATGAAATGGGTCTGACGCTTCAAGGAAAACAACTGACAGTCTGCACGATGAAACCAAATGCAAGGAGACTATAAGATAGATACGTCTTACGTAGAAGATAGATGTATGTAATAAGATATGTATTTCTTCATCATTAATACCATGTGGCTGTTCCGTGCACAGTGATTGGACTTAGAGCCCTTGGCAAGTACTTTTTGTGAGGTAGACAGTAAATGTCTGTTGCTTTGCTTTGAGTGGAGTTGGGGAAGCATGTGGGGTGTGTGAACTATACTCTGCAGTTCCCCCACTTCTAGAATGACCTGCCTACAGCCAGGGAGTCAAAAACCGGAGACGAATCCCTTACCTTTATCTCCTCCGTGGAATTAGGGAACGTTAGCGTGTAGATGCCATTGGTCGTTAGTCCTGATTTGAATGCTTCCGCACAGTCTCTGAAGATGATCTGTTCCTCCTTAGCAGCAAAGGAGTTCTTAGCTGCTTTTAAAAAAGAGGAAAGCATTGAAATGGCATTCATGAGAAGATCAAAGTCTATTATTTCGAGATGCACTCAGTTGCTAAGTTTTCTTACGTTTGAATTCTCACAATAAGTAAAAAGGATATGCCAGTTTTTTAGCCTTTCCAAAAAAGTTACCCTTTCAGCATGTTTTGTATTAATTCTCTAAGATTGTTACCAAAATCCATACTTCCTTTTTTATCATCAACTACATGGAATGCAAATACTTCACGATCAGCTACAATAAACTATTACTTTTTAAAAATCTTTCATCTTGAGTGGAATCCGATAAACTTATTACAGAAGAATAAAGAAAGAACATACCTAAAAGCAGTGTGAGCTCCACAGTGGCCACCTCACAGCCCAGTGGTCATTAGCCTGTCCAGGCCGTAGTATGTACTTTTTTCCTTTTTATATATCTGAGGCCATGTCTTTATACATCTCTTTAGACTATTGGGTGAAGACATTTAGTTGTCTTTGGATTTTTAGCAGCTGCCCCATAATTGTTGTCTTAAAGAGGAACCTAACATTTCTTTGTCTTGGAACTTCTTCCTGTGAAAATTCTAGGGCTATGAAATTCCTTCAGATTTTTCTCTGCTTTCAGCATTTAGACTTCCCAATCCTTTTTGGCCCGGTCAAAAAAATGTGTGTGTATGTCTATGTGTGCTCTTGGACGCATTTGTTTATATTTCATTGTAGAGACTTGCAGAGCAGGAGTCTCGGGATGGGGTGGTGTGGACAGGGTCACACCTGCTTGTCAGCTAGAGGCACAGTGCGGAGACCAAAGCCCCTTCTGGGGCTCTTTCTCCCCAGCTCGTGTTTTCTGCCAGGATTTGAGCTATGTGATTTTCTCTGTGTGGGGTCATCAGAGGTAACACCTCACGCTCTTGATCCCACCAGACAATGTCAGATGATTGGCTTTTCCTTTTTGATGAATGTGAAAAAAATACAATTTTTCTAAATTATAGGAGAGTGAAACTCTAGTTGGAGGGCACATATTGCAAACTGGCAGCCCAGGGTGAGACCTACCACTCAGCATCAAGATCGTGCCACAGTTTTTGTTTGTTTGTTTCCTTGTTTGTTATCACATTAAAATTGTGATAACTGCCTGACTCAAGGAAAATGTGAGAACGTGTTTCTTATGAAAGTGAAGACTATCTCTACGTGTTTCACATGTGAAGTTTATCTATGTCAAAAGAATACACGTCAAAAAGACATTATGAAGAAACCATGGTAAGAACCAAACCCAATTTCTTTAAGAAAAACACTAAAAAGTACCACAAAGATTATATATCACATCTCTGTTAATAACCTAAGATGCATCCCTTCTTCCTCTAATAACTAAGAGAAGTTGAAAGGTAAAACAGTACTAATGAAGGAAAAACATACTTAAGGATGTGGCGAGAGAAGGGAACTAGCATTTCTTGAGTCCCAATCTTATTCTGGTTACTATAATAATATCTCATTTAACCTTCACAGTAATCCTATTGTCTAGTATTATTTTTCCCACTTAAAAAATTAACTTGCCCAGCTTCATACATCCAGTTAATGATGGAACTAACTCAAAGTAGGCTCTTTGGGCCCATGAATCAAAACTATGTTTGGGGTCTTTGCTTCATAATAATTAATTGGTATAAATATGCATTCCCCCGCCCCTCGTCTTCCTCCTTCTTTTCAATTGCTTTTATACTGAGACCCTATAAAGCTTTCATATGAAATTTGTAAGAGAAATAGTGCCTTTTCTGAAAGATGAAAATTTTTTTTTAAATTTTGAGAGTTTCACTAACAGCAATTAAAACTGAAGAAAAATGATATGTAAATGTTACTTACAATTGGGTGTCGATATCATAGTCAATAAATTATGAACTGTCTCCATCAGATCATGTTGCTGCTTTTGGAGGACTGAATTATTCACAGTCGCAGTCACTAATTGTTTCTCTAGTTCCTCAATGATGGAATTTTGCTTGGATACTAACACCTGGAGCTGGTCTTTCTCTTCTTTTATTGACCGAAGTTGAACTATGTGCTTGTCTTCCATATCTAGTACTTTCTTTTCCAGGAAACTTGTAAAGAGAATAATTGTAGTTAGTGAAGGGTGTTCTGATGACCATCAAAGCCAAGTGCTTTATAGACATCTAATCAGTTTCATATACAGTTGTTTATATTTATTGAATTTCTACTTCTCAAGGGCACTCTGTTTAGATGTTAAAGGAGTTATAAAGTAGCAAGAACTCTGAAGAAGCTCAAGCTTGCTGAGATGACATTCATGGATGTGACAAAGCTTCTGTGTCTCCATTGAGGAGAAAATACTCTGGTGAGAACGTAAGGTCCATGATTCGAAGTTATCACATGGAGTGCATTTGAAGACTAGTTTCAGTGAAGAGGGATGTGGACATTGAGAAGGCATCCTCGGTGTTAGGGACACATGTGGGCAAGTGGAAAGAGCCCGAGCTGAGAACCTCAGCTCCGTACAGGACTATCTGAGTCACCCGGGCAGGCCATCCTCTCTCTGGGTCTCAGGTGGATATCCACCTATAGAAATAAATCTCTATGTAAAATGAAGGCATCAGATTAGATGATAATCTCTGATGCTGCTCCTAGTTCAAATAATCTGTAAGTCTATCATGCCTTTGTGTCATGGGCAGTAACATTTTCTGAGTCTTCAGCTCTGCAAACAGCGTTACTCATCTAAGGAACTGACTCCCTATTGTAGGTCTTGCCTATAAGCAGTAACAATCAGTCTTAATCATTATTATTAGAATTCAACTGCAGCCCTTAAATTTATCGCAGCCCAGTGGTCACTGTACATCAGTATATGACAGTAAATATACCGTCAACAGAACAGGTCAGTAAATAATGTTACCTTAATGCAGTCTTTTGCGTTTGACTTTCATCAGTTTCACCATATGCACTTTTCAACTATTATTGCTTGATATTCTTCTTGATATCAGTTAACTTATTTTTTTAATTTGTATATCACTTTCATTGATTTAAAAACCAGAATGACTTACCATAAGCAGAAGATAACCTAAAAATAAATACATAAGGTTTTTCTGTTTACTATCTAAAATCATTTTTAGTATAGGTGTATAGGCAATATGCTTTGGGAAACAAGTATCCTACAACGCTTTGACCTAGACAATTAACATAAAATATATGGGGCTTTTTTTTTTTGGTAAGGAAGACTCTCACCCTGAGCTAACATCCGTTGCCAATCTTCCTTTTTTTTGGCTTGAGGAAGATTGTCCTTGAGCTAACATTTGTGCCAGTCTCTCTCTATTTTGTATGTGGGATGCTTCCACAGCATGGTGGATGAGTGGAGTAGGTCCACACCCAGGATCTGAACCTGTGAACCTCGGGCCACCAAAGTGGAGCACACGGAACTTTAACCATTCTGCCACAGGGCCAGCCCTAATGGGGCATTTTTAAATCATTAATCTCTGCTGCCTTCAAAATGATGATGCTGAAATTTGTTATCAACCATTTTTGTTGTTTTTAATATTCTATGAGGAGGCAGAAAGATGTGACAATCACATGGTCCAGAGTGTGAATGAGAGTTAAATGCTCTGGGATGGATATTAAAAAATAAACAAACAAGGGGCTGGCCCCGTGGCCGAGTGGTTAAGTTTGCGCGCTCCGCTGCAGGCGGCCCAGTGTTTCGTTAGTTCGAATCCTGGGCGCGGACATGGCACTGCTCATCAGACCACGCTGAGGCAGCGTCCCACATGCCACAACTAGAAGAACCCACAACGAAGAATACACAACTATGTACCGGGGGGCTTTGGGGATAAAAAGGAAAAATAAAATCTTTAAAAAAAAAAAATAAAAAAAAATAAATAAATAAACAAACAAGCAAAAAACTTTAGTCTCTTTCTCCCAAACCTATACCAGTCACATCCTGATCTAAAAGATTTAATCTTAAGATTAAATGCAAGCGTGTATTGAAGAGTTAAGCCCAGCATCAGGTCACCCCAGACCAGGCTGGCTCTGAGAGCAGCTCTAGTCACATAGTGAGTACAGAAACACAGATCATTGAATCTTAAAGCTCTAAGGAGTCTCGGAGATCATAACTGGAGCAACATTTTGCAAAATGAAGATTAGGACCTATTAGTGGCTTGTGAAATCAGTTTAGTGAGTCACAATCAACATTTTTTTAATGAGAGGAAATTAAATGGATAAAACAGATGAGAATCGAGTGCAAACTCATAGCAAGAACTTTGCACATTGCAACAAATACCATGGTCAATACTGTCAGGTGGTAGAAGACAGGAAGTGGAGCAGCATGAGGTATGCGTGCATTGTTTGAATTTTGCTCATTTGCATCTTGTTGATTTTCTGATACAGGAGGATCAATTTGATCATCACTATAAAAGTTTGACTCAGGTACTGCCTTGTATTAACATAGTTCGTGGTCAGTTGATAAGTGTGGGGAAATATCCTGTGCTGGCAAAAATATCAAGGCTGAATCGTGTTTCTTTTGAGAGTTTTTATTGCCTCTCTTCAGAAGGGGACAGTGTCAATGGTAGAACTTTTCAATGACAATAATCACAATTCAGTTGAACTGGCACAAATAGCCCCTAAATCCATCATTTATTGTTGGAAGAAAAAAAGAATGATAAGATGAAAAGATGCATAGTACTTTGAACTTCAGCTGGTGACTCTAAATGTGTTATAGTGGCAATCTTCAGCAAAATGTTGGCCCTACTAAGTACTCTGACTTCATTTGAACCTGTTCTATGAAGAAAGCAATTGTGCTTTGGGGGAATTATTGAAGATTATTTAAAATATGCTTTGTCAAATGTGCAAAACATTGGCATATTTTTGTAATGATGATCTTGCAAATGAAATCTTAGACTAGTCAAAATTTAAGGCACCTAAAAACACAGCATGCCAAACTCATTGAAAGATGTAAAATCTTTGGCACAATTTTCTTATTTTTATTTATTAATAGCAGTTGATGAAGAAACCTTACTATTGTCATTTCATTTCATATTTATGACAAAAGAGAGTATAATTTCTGCAGCTGCTAAAAAGATTATTCTTCCTGCAGGTGTAGATTTGTTACATATGACTTTTGTGATGTATCAGCTGATAAAAGCTGTACCTTTTAGTATCTGTACTAGGGCCGGTCACTCAGAAACAGTTCTTATGCAACTCTAGTCTGAGTTAGACTTTTACAATCCAAGTTGTGGAACACTGCTGTTGCAAGTCACATAAAATTTTAGTTTGTTAGATATGTTTGACAAGGTGGTTTTGTGGAGGAAATGTTGTGATGTTTAAATTGAATTTCATACAAAACTAGATTTGAATTATTGGAAAAGCACATTATTGGTCAATATGAATTAAACTGGGAAATACTATGAAGGACTGAAGTGAAAAAAATGTGAAGGATCATTTTTACTGACAATTTGAATGTTGTAGGATACTAAACTAGAAACGTAAGGCAGTAACAATGTTCAGTACTAGGGTGGGTTCAGCAAACTGGACTCAAAGACATTATTGTTCTGGCAAGTGACAGAAGTAATTACCCAGCCCCCATGTCTTCCCAACATTACTGCAACATATTGAAGAAAACCTCATTAAATAAGACCATTTTAACAAAGTGAAATATCTCAATTATTGATCTCAAACTTTTATTTATCACTTGGCAGAAGGAAAAATTGAAACATTAAAGAAAAATAATTGGATAAAAAAAATCTATTTGCTTTTCAAAACCCTAAATCAATAATAAGTTAAACCTGTTACCTAAACAACAGAAAGAATTAGTTTAGCTTAGTTCCTGATTAACGGGAAAGAAGGATTATAACACAATGTTTATCGTCATTTTTGGCTAAGAATAAAGAATTACTTAAATTGTAAGATAGAAAGAGTATATTGTTGCTTGACTGTTCTCCATGTGATATTTCCATGCCTTGATCAGAAACAAGGAAATAAGCACAGTAGGTGTGTGAATACAATTATCCTCATATGTCCCTGACTGGAACAGAGCTATGAAAACAATTCCCACGCATCACCCATCATTTCTGCTTTTGTGTTGCTTTTCTTGGGATTTTTCTATATTTTATTTAAACATTAATACAATCATGTTTAATATTAACTTTTGCTTTTGCCTTATATGTTTTAAGAGTAAGGATTGCATCATGCAATGTGCATTGGTTTATAAGTGTAGTTTTTCTGCTGTAGATTATTTTGCATTGGAAATAACTGAGTGCCCTAAGGCAAAGAAGCTTGGTAACGTTAATATTAAAATGCCTAGGCTAGTGTTACTTTTGTTTCATAATACTGGCTGTATTTTTTTATAGGTTAACATGAATAATATTGAGGCAGTTCAGAGGATTTCTGTAAGAGAATCTTTAAGGGCCCAGGAATGAAAAACAAAATTGAGGACTGTGTGAGAAGGTGCATGCCATTTCAATATTTTTTCCAAACTCTATCCCTACCTTTCCCTCACAAGGTTTCTGATCCTCACACTACACGTTAAGAAATTCCGTATTTTGGAATCCATGCTTGAATATGAAATCGGCTTTCATATCTAGAAAGTGTGTGATTCTGGATTATAAATGTTTTTGTACTTTTATTACCTGTTCTTATCTTGCAATTTGTTTATTTCACTGGTCTGATCCAAAATCTGTTTTTCCAATTTGTTTGTAGAAAGGGAATGTTCCAGAAGCTGAAGTTCAAGTCTTGTTGTCTGATTTAATACCTAAATATAACAAAACAAAATTCCTATTTATCATTTTTAAAATTAGGTATAACTTCCTTTTAATTAAGTTATCTAAATTATAGGAAAACATAAATGAAACATTATTTAACCAAGCATCTTATTTTGGCATATTTTTCATTTTCAGAAAAGGCTTGATGTCCTGGATTACATGAGAGTGCATTAAACATTTTTTCACCACGTCTTTATTTTGGAAAGTGTTTAATAGTTCTGGACAATAATGTTTGTGTCAAATAATATAATGTTATTTTTCTTGTTCTGCATGGTTTATCATTTCTTTTCACACAGTGAGAGAAGTGGGAGTGTAAAATGGTCATATTTAATATATCAGAAATTGTTGATAAATGAAAAAAGGTTTTGCCTCTGCTCAAAACAAAATGCTCTTCTCGTATTTGTTTGTCAGTAGACAAAGTATCTAGAAGTCACAAGCTTCCATTCTCTAATAATACAGTTCATTTTCGGCCCAGCAATTCCTAGTTTGTATTCACTTGTTTAGCCCTTTATGCTTTTTTCCTTTTCCATTTCTTCTTCCTATTTTAAAAATCTTGTCAACCAATTCAGAAACAATAGCATATCAATATAAGTGGGCGCTCAGTTTTGCTTTGTGGGTCTTTCTGACATATACCATGTGCAGTATCGCTGTTCCCATTGTGTTCGAACAACTTTAAGGCCGAATTCTTTAGCATTTGGCTGCCTTTTAGCAGGAAGAATCTATTACTCATATCCTCTGTGTCATGCTTATTCAGGATGTGATATCACGTGTAAGTGTAAGGCAGAATTGTTGCCCAGGAATTAGGGTCCTTGAAAGAAGCATTGTTTGTTCGGGGTCTGTGTCATTCATAAAAGGGTTGGCCTGGCCCCACTGTGCAGGTTTAGGGACAGTCCAGTCCTTAGTCAACGCTGGATGCCTTCGTACCATGAACACTTTTCTGTGAATGAATAAAGGCATTGGCTGATGTAAGGGATAGGTTTTAGTATTAAAAGGGATGGGTTTTAATATTAACACCTGGAATATAGATTTGGCCTACATCTTCTTTGGGTCCCAACATTCTATGCTGGTTACTACTAAAAGGAAACTGAAGTCTTATTTAACTCATAAGGGCTATAAATGAGTACCACGGGGGAAAGATGGGGAGGATGGTGTGTGTGTCCTGACTGACCAGGATCAATTGCGATGTCCTTCCATCACTTCTCTGAGGCCCTCCAGCTGCAGGTGACTGTCTAAATATCCAGGTCAGGTGCTTGTCTGTTTCTCTAAGATCTCAGATCTCCGACCATCCATCATTGTCCAGTTTAATAGTCTCTCACTCTGACCAGCTGGAAGAATCTTGCTTCTAATCAGAAATGTCCACATTTGGGTTTAAACCTGTTTCACACAGGAACTGCTCAGCAAATTCCCTCAGGTGGGCTGGGTACATGATCCAGACCCTTGATCTCCCTCAGGCTCAGCCGTTCGAATGTGTTTAGTTGGACATTCCAGGCTGTTTTCTTTCCAGCCATTTTCCGATTTTCCTGTTTATCCTGGATCATATGATATCTAGTTTCACAACAGACTTTTTTTAAATCACGTGACCCAAGGAAAGCACTCTGGCCACTGGTAGGCTGACTTACACAGGATGCAGCAGGTTTACGTCATTGCTCCGTGTCTACAGTTTATCTCTCTTCTCTGAAACATGAGAAATGTTACACTTCCAGAACCTGTTTTGGATGAGCTGGATTTCCTACCAGTTTCACTATCAAAAGGTGGGAAATGTGACTTAAACAATACTAATTTATTTTACTACTTGACCATGGATATATCGATACATTTACTTTTAAACTTTTGTATCTTTGCATTTTTAGCTTTTATTACCTCTTGGGATTACAGTTTTCGGTACCTTCTGGTCCCTTGTGTGGACAATTTCTGTTTTTCCTAAAACTGTTCTAATACTGTGGAAAGATTTGGTCAGCAAATAAGTTCTTATTCTATCCTCAAACATCTTTTACTCTTCTGCAGCTCCCAACTGTTTGCTCCGCCTTATCCCGCAGTTTTCAGAGAGCGATGAAAGAATACCTCTGCCCTTCCAGACCTGGTCTTAGCACAAGTGGAAGATCTCACATCTTCTGCTGGCTGGTGGCTGGCATTTCTTAGTCCATTCAGCTGGAGGAGCATATAGGAATAACATGTCCTGGGAATCATTGATAATTAAATCTGCTTTGTGTATGTGCATGCTTTATAAATCAGAGTAGGAAGATACTAACTTCACAAGCCTATAAAGAAGCCAGCATTAGGAACCAGAAAGTTGATTCACCAATAAAGAGGCCTGAACTTGAAGCATCTCCATGAATTCTTTCAACAGCACTTTTTCCACCTGGACTATTCTTTTTTTTTTTTTTTTTTGAGGAAGATTAGCCCTGAGCTAACTGCTGTCAATCCTCCTCTTTTCGCTGAGGAAGACTGGCCCTGAGCTAACATCCATGCCCATCTTCCTCTGCTTTCTATGTGGGACGCCTGCCGCAGCATGGCGTGCCAAGCGGTGCCTTGTCTGCACCCGGGATCCCGAACCAGCGAACCCCGGGCTGCCGAAGCAGAACGTGCGCACTTAACCGCTGTGCCACGGGCCGGCCCCTCCACCTGGACTATTCTTATCGAGCCACATGTTTTGTGTTGTTTCGTATGACTCTGGATGAATTTTGTTTTAACGTTTTGCTGTCATTCTTCTATGATTTTAGTACTTCATGTTCTTCTTTCCCACTGTGTTCGTCAGTAGCTCATGGCCTCTGCAGGTTAGAGGGAACTCAGCAGTCAGTCATCTGACCCCGCCTCTCAGTTCATAGTGAAACCCCTGAGCCTGAAAGGTGGAATGCCTCACCAGATTTGTTCATCCAGATGATGGTGAGACTAGAACATCACAGGCTCAGGCTCCTGGCTAACGGTTGGGCACCCTCTGTGCTCCAGATGCTGCCTCTTACTATGCTGTTTGCTTCTTTCTCTCCAAACTCCTGCCACAAATTGTATAAACTCATGCCACAAATTGTGTTAACAGTTCTTTCAGATGTAGCTTTTATCTTAACTCAAGAGTTAGATTTAAGAACAAAGTTTCTAGGGGCTGGCAGTGTGGTGTAGTCATTAGTTCATGTGCTCTGCTTCGGTGGCCAAGGGTTCACGGGCTCGGATTCCAAGTGCGGACCTATGCACCACTCTCAAGCCATGCTGTGGCAGCATCTCACATACGAAATAGAGGGAGATTGGCACAGATGTTAACTCAGAGACAATCTTCCTCAAGCAAACACAGGAAGATTGACAACAGATGTTAGCTCAGGGCCAATCTTCCTCACCAAAAAAAAAAAATAATGAAGTTTCTAGCACGCTGCCTCAGTGCTTTTCATTTCTCAAATGCACAAAGAAAGTTAAGGACTTTGGAATGAAGTTTATCTAGAGTCTGGAAAATACCAGTGAGGCAGAGGAGCATTTATCTTGTAGTTGTCAAGGGTGAGTAAGATGAAAATGATTTGAATGTCCTTAGTAGAATAAATGTAATTTAACCTCAGTATTGAAAATGCAAATGTATTTGCTAATTTTAAATTCCTATCTAGCCACAAATTCTTAATTTCTAATCAATTACTTTTTTTATTTTCCTGCTATAGTCGAGCTGTCTTTACTTTTCCATTATTTCATTAAGTGACCATGCAGCATGATTTCATGCTGGTATTTATCTGGCTGGACCATCGTGTGTGTTCTGTTTCCTTACTTACTTGGGCTTCAACATCAGTTAACTTTCTTGTTTGCTCTGCGGTTTGGTTTAGTAGGTTGGTTCCTATTTCTATCATCACAGCCGTCTGGTTCTGTACTGCATTCTGTTGCATCTCGACCATTTCTTTCTTCATATTGTCCTGGATATAATTCTCAAGCTAGGAAAGAACACATGTCAGGAAGACAGTCATTATCAGATGACCAGAAGACTTAATCCTAAATATTTTCTCTTTCCTTTAAAATATCTATTGGAAGACTTGTGCCTTGCTTTCATTCTGAAATCTTGCTTTTTTTTTTTTTTTTATCACTAGTAGTAAAATACAGTGTGATTTTGTTAAGTCAAAATCAGGCAGCTTAGTAACATCCCGTGTAGGAGACGAATGTTCAGATCCCTCCAGAAGTCCACAGGGATCTGTGGTGAGGGATGTATGAAGCCACAGCTCAGGCCTGGGCAGATGCGTGCCAGCCGGCAGGAAGGACCATGGGGATTTCACTGTGTTACATCCACTCTGCCAAGCTGAGGCTCTGTCCATGTGACGCAGGAAATGAAGATTTGATACTAAAAAGCATCACTTGTTTCTACCACTTTCTAGACTTATGGTTTCTCAAAATATAGATGTTAGTAGGCTCTCTAAGGCAAGAATATGAGGAAAGGCACACCTTTGGGTTTTCCCCATAACTAAGAATCACCCCTCAGTTCCATATTCTGCAGTGGCCCCTACTTCCCTCATATTGAGTTCATCATGCATCCTACCCATTAAGTTTTTCCTACCAGGTATGCATTTTTCACGATTTCATCATTTAATATATCAGGCAAACTTTTAATCCTACACTAGTCCATTCATAATCTCATGTGCCAGTCGAGACTGGTTCGTCCTCCGTGAGTTACTGTGGATGATGGGCATGCTGACTCATTGTAACGTTAGCTTAAGCATGAGAGAGTGAAGAAGCTAATTTCACTGCTCAAGGTATTGATACCTATATCTTTCTCAATAAAATTACATAATGGTATATAAATTCAGGACAGCGTGGGAAAGAGCATGTGGGCCTCAGGCCATGGATGCCTTCTCCCCTGTTTCAAGCCTTTGACTCTAGTTAAGTTGCTTAACTTTTGGGGGCCCCAGTGTCCTCATATATACAATAAAGTTTCTCATTGGTCAGAGCAGTGTTTTAAGGATTACTTAAGCTATGCTTTTAAAGTCATTGTCCATGTATAACTTTGGATGCTTAAAATATAATTTCCTTTCTTCTTTGTTTTCACAATGATCCAATGATGGGAGCCATGAGTCCATACATTGATTCAAACTATAGGCTCATGAGGACAGAAACCCTATTTTTATTTCTTTTTCACATAGTTACAACTCAAACATTTTTTATTAAATTGAATAATTGGAAGTAGATTATAAAACTGCCTCAAGTGCCTTTCTTTAAAACTGGTAGTTCTCTGCAGAAAAACCATTTGTAGAGCCAGTCATCAAACATAATTTCTCCTAAAATGTTAGCCACTAAATAATTCTGTCCTTCTCCCTGTAAGAGTGAGAAAAATGGAACGGGAGAGGCAAAGTTTCTCCCAGAGAGTTCAAGGGCTCCTTTGTAGGTGCAACTGATGAATCGTCTTGAGTGCTATTCTAGGGCCTCAGGGCCAGTCTTAGAAGCGAAAGGTTGCTGTTTCCGTTGCTTGCTCGCCATTGACTCTGTCCTTGCTCCCACTCCCTCCGGGCTGGTAATCTTGATGGTTAATGGCCACTCCCTGGTTCTCTCTTGGTTGTTGGGCAGAGCAAGTAGCATGAAATCTGACAATTACTAAGGCTCTGATCATGTGCAAAATCTTGTAGTTGAAGCCTTTACTTCTCAACATAAATCACAATAGATTAGACCATTATAAAAAAAAAAAAATGAAGTCCTATTCCTCAGCAGTCCAACATCTCTGATAGAGACTCCATAAACTCTCAAGAGTGGTACCCTTGTTAACCCTATATTAACTAGCTGGTGCTAACTGGCTCAGACTTTTTAGTGGCTGTGTTCTTTCTTTCTTAATTCATTCTTCCCTTCCCCCTGCCTTTTTAAAGTTATAGCTTTTATGATTTAAATACGAATTTAAAAGAACTTGTAGATAGAAGTTTATAATTTCTCCTTTTTCCCTCTCCCACTCTCTCTCTCGCTCTCATCACCCGGGGTGATGGAATTTCTGAGGTTAGGGTTAAAGCTGTATAAGTCATCCAGAGGGGTTGTTTTAGTTCCTCTTAACACCCAGCAAAGATAATATTTAGAAAGACTTATTCTGGGAACTTTGGAACCATTAAAGATACGCTCAAGCTGGAGTTTGGTTTAAGTCCATACTCAGAAGTAATAATTTACAAAATAGTATAAATAAAAGTCTTAACCTTCTTATTGATTGCAGTACTTAAAAGCTAAATAAAAATAATTCTGTCTTTCTCTCTGTAAATCATGTAACTAGAGGGGGAAAATGAATCCTTTAATCCTCCCCCACTCCCATTTCTAGACCTACTTGGTAAATGTGGTCACAATCATCAAGAGACATGAGGAGATTGTTTATAATTTGACATTTTAAAGTCAAATTCTCATTTAAAATTAGACTTAGGAACTTTAACAGACATAAAAGACCTAATTTTTAAAAATAAAATTTCTTAACTTTATTGCCATATTATTTTCTAAACTTGGAAACGATAGAATGCAAAATACTTTTTAAGTTGCTGTTTTTTCTGCTTTTCAGGATGACAGAGTATGTGTATGTGGTAGGTATGTGTGAGTGTGTGTGGTTAACCTTACATTGAAGCAAGTTACAGATCTATGTATACACGTGATGAGTGTGTATATGGATATTCTATATAGTATATATGTGTGTAGTGTCTATATACAACTAAATAAAGGAAAATTCTATATAATACTGACCCAATTGCTAACTAATTGAAGTCTTTAGGAGAAAAGTGGAACAAAAACAGAAATATCGTGTGTTACAGATTTTGTGTTGATTCTTAAAAAGATTTGTGCTCTTACACTTGAAGCAGTGAAAATAAATTAAGATTTTAAGAGAAATGGGTGATGTGACAGTCATGGACTCTTTAAGAACAAAGAATATGTTTAGTCCCAGAAGCAACAGCAGCAGTAGCAATACGGTAACTATAGTTAACGTTTGTCGGTTCCTTCCACTGTCTCAGCTTCTGTCTCCATCTCATTCTGTGGCCTCCAGGTGCCTGGTATTGTGTGGGCATGGGTGCTTCTGAGGACTGGCACGCCTGTAAGCAAACTGGTAGTTTAACTCAGGGGCCACGCCACACTTTTCCTGCCTTTCAACAGCCAAAAGTGTATATCCCAAAACTGGCCTGAGTGTGCCTTCCAATTTCGAAAATTCACAGTGCCTTAAAAAGCAGATAGACCACCTACCACGCGGTTAAGGAAGGGGAGGGCATCGTTTTTACTAACAGAAAAGCCTAGAATCGAAGATCACCAATGCTGATTTTATTTCCTGGGAACGTCATGACAGAAGAATCTGTCTTTCCCTCCAAAGACTAGTAGTAATTTTTAAAAAGAAAGAGTTCTGACGTTCATAACGTAGGGTAAAAATGAACATTTCCAAAGGAAGTTCTCCTATTTAATGGAGTCTCCCTAAATCGTTACAAGTCAGAGCATAAGACCAAATCTAGAAATGAAGCCTCTGTGACTGACCCACCCGGATAGATGCACCTTGAAATTTGCCTGGCTCTTGATCTTGGTGAATTAGTTCTTTTCTAGTTTATTGCCCTAGAATAAATGTCTTCCTGTTTAGCATCTCCCTTATTTTTAATGTGTGTGACTGAAACCCGGAAATATAGAAATCTGACCAATGAAATTCCATCCTGGTATATGGAAGTCTTAGTACAAGAAAATAGATGAGGCAAATAAGATCTCTCTTCCCATTGGCAGCCTGATACTCCGCTCTGCTTTGGCAAAATTTCCCGTCCTCGCTATTTGCACTTAGCTGCTCTTATCAAAACAGTTCCAAGACACTTGAACCTCCCGAGGGAGGGGACAGGGTTCCATCTCATTTCACATGTGTGACTTCGCATCCTCATGTTTTGCAGGAATGTTTGACACTGCCTTCATATCTGAAGACGATTAGGCAGTCATTCTGCTTTGTGAGTCCACATGTCTCTGAAAAGGTCCCCACTGTAAGTTTGGAAGATCTGTGTGGACATTCCTTCTGTCCCCTTCTTAGTGAATGGCCTGAGCACTCTTCAAGTGTGGGTCCTTGAACTGTTTCTCTTTCCTTAGCATTCAAATGAATTCTCCAAGTTTAATTAACATTTTAAGGCTATCACTGTCATTATAGTTGCATAGATTGTTACTGAGTATTATTTTGATTTGCCAGAAAAGAATTACACCCTGAATGCAGCCTTTAAAAGTTGGCAACACGTTGAAGCTCCAGCAACTAGAATATAATATTTTAACACATCATAGACATACGTATTTTTTTACTTTAAAATATGTCCTGAAGTTTTTCACTACTTGCCAACATTTGGAACGATCACATTTGACAGGGAAAATAGGTCCATTTGCAAGGCAACTATGGCAGATTGATTGCACATTAAAATGTTCTGCTCACGATCTTCCTTCTCACCAAGATTATCATCATTATTTTTTGTACCAAAAAGAAAGTAATCTTGAAATTGGATGGGGAAAGGAAAACATTGATAGTGTGTGAAAACTGTCCCCAACTTCGAGATTTTGATGTTGGTCCCTTTTATATGGATCCTGGTTGAGAGATCATTTCTACTTAAATAAAGCTCCGTGCCCAATGCCTCTTAATTGTTGAGGTTTTTTGTCCATTTGAATGACGGAATTTCCCTAGGAAATTAACAAATAACTTGAGGTTTCACTGGAAACATTTTACTCTCTAGCATTTCAATTTAGAAATGAAGTAACTATTCTCTCTTACACATACCTCCCCCCCAAAAAAGGATGTTTTTTCTGACCTCAGCAATCCCTCCTGACTTGATCTGTTCTTCCTGCCCAACGTCTACCATCCTCTCTCTCCTGGGTTGTCATGCAGCCCCTAACTGCCCTCCCACCATCCTGCCCGGAGAGTGAGGGTGCTCAGTGCAGACTCGATGATCAGTGCCATTCAGATCCCTCCCTGCACCTTCGCCTGTAAGAGGAA